CCTAGACCCTAAACCCCTAAACCCTCAGCCCTGGCTTAATGTCGTAGTGGGAACTCACAGGATGGCTAGAAGGTCTGAATCAGAGTTCAAGGGGTCCTGATCCTAAAAAGATTCCTGGGCCTTTAGGCCCCTCAAGCGAACCCGAAGGGTTTAGGGTACGGGTAGGGTCCAGGGTCCAGGGTCCACTGCCTAGAGTCTAGGGTCTAGGGTCTAGGGTCTAGGGTCTAGGGTCTAGTGTTCAGGGTCTAGGGTAGGGCTTAGGGTTTAGGGATTTGGTTCAGTGGATCGGTTGGGGGTCTCCCTTTTGCTTGGTTGAAGCTCTGCGCCGCAGCCTGAGATGCTCTGCCTTCTGATCGTGGAATGATGCTCCCTGGGTTCTTGCTGTCCTCCTGAAACTCGTGACCCTGAACCCTGAGCCCTAAACCCTAAACCCTAAACCCTGAACCCTGAACCCAAGAGGGTCCCTAAGACCCAGCAGCTTCTGGAACCCTGGCCAGGCCCAGCAAAGCGTGCCTCAGGCAGTCGGGGCCTCTGTGTCGGGCGCAGCCCCGAATTATCGCCAAGGTTTAGGGTTTAGGGTGTAGGGTTTAGGGTTTAGGGTTGATTATTTGTTGTTCTTTGCTTTGTTGTCGTAGAGCTTCATGCGTTTTGCTCCACGGGATAGCGTAACTTGCTGTATTGTCGCCCACAAAAAGCCCAAAGCTTCGCCTGTCCTTGGAGCTGAGTTTGCATGGCCTTCGGGGTGGGATGCTCCATTCACTAGAGGCCGACCTTCCATGCTGGTGTCCTTCAGACGTTTTGGTTTTCGGCTGCGGGTGTGGCTGCAACGCATTTGTGTGCGTAGGGAGGCAGAAAGGGGCCCATGCATGCCGCGCCATTTCCTGCCATCAGCGTTTGTTCTGTTCGCCTTCGGTTCTCATTGCCTTGTCTTCGGCTATATATTGGATATGTACATCCGGTTCCTGCTCCTTCCAAAACACTCTGCGGTGCTCCGCTCGCTTTGCTTGCCTTGGGCAGCTTCTGCATCACATTCCTGTGTCCCCTGCCTCAACAGGGTCCCTGCGGCTTGGCGGGTCCCCGTTGTTATTGATAGCGATTGCTTCGGCTACTTCTGATAGCCTTTGCTTATGAGGGCACGGAGGAACATCTAGCAACCTAGCACTTGCAACAGTCGCCTTGTGCTCAGCTGATTCTGGTCATCTGTGCCTGCTCAAGCTTGCCAAGGCCCCCAGTTTTGTTCCTAAGGTTGGCGGGTTGGGTCCCTTGGTAGGGTTGGCGACTGGTCCTCTGGTCCTCTGGTCCCCTGGTCCGATGATCATTGCTTGCACGTATTCCGTTTAACACAACCATCGCCAGCTAGCTCATCATGACGATGGTTATGAAGTACAACCTTTTCAGTATTGATTACAAAGTACTACATACTAGTACCTAACACCTGCTGATGAATTTCTCATCCTTACATACTGCTTGCTAAATACTAATTACTCGTTCCGACTTACGACTGAATTATGTGCATTCGAAGCCGAGTCACAGCCAGAAATGTCACATGCAGCACGAACAGCCAGAAAAGCTGTAATTTGCAGCTTGTGAACCGTCAGAACTCTTGCAAGCAAGTTCCAGCGCAGAGGATGAGCCGCCAGAAACGTTGGTAATCTACAGCATTCGAAGCCAGTGAACAGTCAGAAACGCTGGCTATCGCGGGTTTAGAGCTTTCGAAAAGCCCAAAGCGTTGCAACTTTACAGTGTTTGCAGCCAGGGGGTGTACCGAACGTGACTTTCACCTACTTGCCAAGACCTCCAAATCGGTGTCGGCGAAATTGGTTTCCTCTTCGTCTTGTTGTTCGCGGTTTCATCAGCTTCTGGCCTATTCTTGACAAGCCAAGTACCTGTGAACGCCGCCGCTTCAGTCTAAATGCTGCAGCCTTGAATCCAGGCATCACACAGCAAACAGCCTAGTCATGCTTTAAGATAGCTGTTCCGATGTTGGGGAACTAACGTTGCCTTGTCCCAGCTTGAATCCTCAACTATCTGGCCTTTCTTTTTGCAGCTTTCCCAGGACCCCAAGGGCGCACCGGGTGCGGCAAGGCCGCCTGCGTGCTTCTACAGGCTTAGCCTGACGTTTGAGTCAACGCTGTTTTTTTGGGTGGTCCCGGGTCTTTAGCTGCTTGGCGACCTTGCACGATGCTCCACGCCTCACTTCTTCCACTGTTCGCCGGCCTGAGTTAGGGCTTGTTCGGCAAACGACAGGTGTTCGGAGCTGCTGTCTTAACCTCCCTGAAACCACACGACTGGTGTTCCATGAGCTTACCCAGAAATTCTGTATGGGCCTCTGTCCCAGAAATCCCTGAGAAGTGATCCTCACATCCTTATCCTTGCCATCTCTACAGATGCCGTGTTGTTGTACGTGGGCCCATGATGCGAAGGCCTTCAGGAGCCTCTTTGACCCAGGCATCGATGGGGTGCCAGGGAAAGGGCCGGTTCAAATGTGGGTCGACTCCCGCTGACTGCAGTTGCTGAGATTCGGGGATAGTGAAAGTTTTCAACTTTGACCATGGTAGGAATCGGGCTGCCAGCCCATGTTACATGCGTGGCAAGCAGTTCTCATGTCCTGTAGACTTTTCTGAACTCTGTCTGCTGATCTAGCATATTAGACCATCTTCTACATACTTGGCTGTCTAGCTAGCGATGCGGTCCATGCTTGCGGGGGATGCTGGTGTGTCCATCATCCCGAGGAGCATAGCCCTGGAAAACATTTTTGTTCGATGGGGCTTGTAGTTGCCACCCTGTTTTGATGTTGCAAGTCGTCGGCAGAAGCTTTTGCTTCTTTGCTGCGTTTGTCCAAAGTTCCGGGCACCCAAACGTACAGCCACCCCAAACCACTAGCACGAAGTTCTGTCCTCCACCTCATATACAGAGCGGAATAAACATCTCCTTGTTTGACTCCACAGCCTGTATTCGCCCAGAGCATCGCCAACTGGGTTGACATCGACCTTTGGTCGGTGTTGGCCTCAGCGCAAGGCGACCATACTCCACTCCATGGAACCATGGTTCATGGGGAAAGCAGTACAGTGCAGTAAGAATTTGGGGAGTCATGTTGTCTCTTGCGCCCAGCAGCAGCTTGAATACACGCACGCTCACAGACCTCGTGGTGTCGACGTGACTTTTCAAGCTTCGCAGGGTTCATGGCTTGCAAGGAAACGTCCGTGTGCAGGGCACGGGGCAGCATGACGCAGAATGATGCAGCATTGCCACTCAAAGGTAGTTTGGAACAGCTGCCGCTCAGGCTTCGTGACAGTTAGCTACGGCTTTATGGCTCGGAGTCGGAGTTTAAGTGGGGCTTCTGCAAAACAGGCACGAGTATGGTCAAGCATACATTGTCAATTCTGTAAGGTCAGAGCCCAGTTAAGGCGCTGTCCTGGAAGGAGTCGGTAGACTCGGATAGCGCTCTGCCCCTTGTGTTGCGAGGCATCTCCTAAGCCCTAAACCCTAAACCCTAAACCCTAAACCCTAAACCCTAAACCCTAAACCCTAAACCCTAAACCCTAAACCCTAAACCCTAAACCCTAAACGTGCAAACAACTTTCTTTGGGTCTCGATAGCTTTGTCAAAGAAGCTGTGTTGTCCGAGGAGAAGCATGGAGGCACTGCCGGGCAGGCCCTTTCTGGAGTGGCACCTGGGTTTAGGGTTTGGGGTTTAGGGTTGAGGGGGACCACCCGCCGTTCCTGTGTTGAGGCCATATCGCACCGCTCAGCACCAGAAGCTTGAATCCTGCCAGACCAAGATCCTGAGTGCAGGGCTGTGCAAGCCTGATGCGGTATCTTGTAGCATCCTTGCAGTGGTGGCACCCATATGAAATCTAGCACCTGAGGCAAAGCATCTTGCCATGTGAACCTGGAGCCTGAATGCTTGAGGCTTGGGCTTTTAAGTTTAGATCACCTCCCTGGCAGGAGGACGCCGGGCCTTGACCTCAGGGGCCGCGGTGATGGGAGTTGGAGGGTGAACGACTGGTTGACATAGGGGCTTAGGCAAGTTCGGTTTTGCTTGGGGGGGGGTGTCTGGAACTTGTATTTGGGTCGGCTTAGGAGCATGTCCTGTATCAGCTGCTTTGAGTGGGAACTCCAAACGGCTTAAAGCCTACGTCCTGGCAAAGCTGCCCTCTGACTGGGACATCACAAAGGAGGACGGCCCTCCAAGCAAAGGTGAGTCCGTCCGAACGCATCTGCTTCCCGACTCCTTGCACCCTGGGCCCACGCCTTAAGAGCAAAGGCTCCGCCGGAGAGCTGAGCGCGCCGAGCAGGAGCCTGGGGCCAAGATTTGAGGAGCTTGCAAAAGGTCTCAAAAAGTTTGGGTTATCCGGAGCTTTGCTCATTGGTCTGCGGTTGGCTGCCTTGGTGCACCTGCCCAGTGTAAGGGCTGCAAAATCGCCGATCGTAGAAGGTCTGCGAGGCCTCCAAGGCGTTCGCAGTCGCTGCAGCTTTCCAAACCCCATGCCCGCCAACAGATACCTAAATAGACACATGGGTAGTTTCCTAAATTAGGGTCCCTTTTTGGGTACCCATTATAAGGTGGCACCCTTTAAAAAGGGATCCCAAAAAGGGACCCTACTTTAGAGAACACCTTTCGAACCGTGCCCGATCCGGCTCCCAGGCGCGACGACCTCAAGCGGAAGGCCATCCGACTCCGTCAGCCTTGAAGAGTCCTAAAGAGGGCGGATAAAACAGGGGTTTAGGGTTTAGAGTGTAGAGTTTAGAGTTTAGAGTTCAGGGTTACGGGTTTAGGGTTTAGGGTTTAGGGATTTAATCGGCTAAGAGGTTAGGAGAGTTTATCAAGCGCTATTCAAGCGCCAGGGCGGTTCAAGCACTGGCGCTTCAAGGACGCGCAACTCAAAGACACATCCTGATTAAGACGCTGGTGGTTCAATTCTGTGTGACTGAAGCGCGAACCTAGTTTCAAGCGCTGCCGATTCAAGCACTGGCAATTAATTCAAGCAGGAGCGCTTCATGCGGTTCTTGTCGAGGTTCAGGATTAAGGGTTTAAGGTTTCTTTTACTGTTTAAAGTTTTTCGGGCTGAGGGTTTCTGGGATCTATGGCTTGGGGGTCAAGGTTCAGGGTTTATGGTTTTTGCATCCGGGTCTCCCGATTTGACAGGTTTGGGGTCTTCAGGTCTGAGTTTTGTTGGGGTTTAGTTTTGTTGGGCTGTGGGCTTTTCGGATTTGCTGCTTTTGGGTTGTAAGGGTTTTGGGCATGTTCAGGCTTTAGAGTTTGGTGTTTAGGAATTGCGGTTTCGGTTTCGGGCTTTGCACTCCCGACCCCCTTCCCTCCCCAGGTAAACCCTGGGTTTTATAATGGTTATGGTCTTGAGGGCCGAGGGTGTTGTGCATGGGTTGCAGGGTTGAAGGTCCGCTCCCTTTCCCCCCCCTCCCTTTTCCTTCCCACCCCCCGCCCCCCACCCCTTCCCCCCCACCCCTCTGCCGCCTCTACTCTCCAACTTTCATATTAAGCAGGCTTTATAGGGAGGGCTGGCAAGATTTGGAGTTTAGCTTTTCGGGCCTCGGTTCAGGATTTATGATCTGATTTTTTCTTGGGTGTGTGTGTGTGTGTGTGTGTGTGTGTGTGTGTGTGTGTGTAGGGGGGGGGATCCGGCGGCATGTGCGCAAAAACCTCCGTGTCCGAATCCCTGGTCATCCATGCGCTATAGCTCGCGAATCCGGCTTTTCTAGTGCACGAGGGCTGTTGAGGATCTGGCGATTCCGGCCAACCTTTGGGCACGACATGCAACATGTGAACCTCCGAGACCCTCAGATAAGATGCCAAACGTCCAGTCCAGGTTGAAAACCCTCATGCTGCAGTTCAGAAAACCCTAAACCCTAAGCCCTAAACCCTAAACCCTAAACCCTAAACCCTAAACCCTAAACCCTAAACCCTAGAGACTCGAGGGAGAGACTCGGAGAGACCTCTAACAGGCACAGGAGTTTGTGGCCAAGAAGAAGGCGGAGTTTGCGGCGCAGGCCAGAGCTTAGGGGGTTGCAGGCTCTGCCTTGCTTGCGGGTCTCAGGGTTTCGGTCAACTGGCCCCGTAGTAAGATGCTCCAAGTTGCTGCCTTGCCGTGTTACGGCACCGGTCATGACCTTCGACTTTTCGGCGTCCATGTTTAGGGTTTAGGGTTTAGGGTTTAGGGTTTAGGGTTTAGGGTTTAGGGTTTCCCATGACATGCGGCGGCCTTCCACGCCGTTGGCAGCTAGGGTGCAGGTAGTTCCCCCCTTCCTTTCGCTAGAGCGGTGTAATCGCATAGGAAAAAAAGGCCAGGGCTTCGGGGTTTAGGGTTTAGGGTTTAGGGTTTAGGGTTTAGGGTTTAGGGTTTAGGGTTTAGGGTTCAGGGTTCAGGGGTCAGGGTTTAGAGGGGTTAGGAGTCGTTGTTTTTTTTAGAAGCCTTGGAAACGGGGCTTATAGTTGCACCTTGCTGCTGGAAGTTGCTGCAGCATGACTGATCGATGAGAAATAGCCTCTGATTTGTGTTAGCAAGTACCTTGCGGCTTTCCTCTGATGAGCCCTTGGAGAACAGCATTGTAGTCGCATATGTATTTCTAGTCGTGATCTGAGTTGCGCTATCTTCTTCTATCTCCTCGGAAAGTGAGTGAAGCCAGGTAAGGAGTTGGTTTAAAGTTTAAAGGATTGCTTGCAGTTTACGCTGTCAGCAAGGCTGAATGTCAGATTTGAAGAAAGTTTGTTCTCGCAACAGTGCTCGCACTTTGGGGTCCTTACTTTCAGAGTCAAGGGAGTTAGATCGCTCTGACGCAGCGGCACGCGCGGGACGCCCTCCCCACTCGTGCCTCCTAAATGCAATTGCTTCATTGCTTTGTGGTTTTCACAGGTTCACGGTTCAGAAGATTGGAAGCCGCGCCTTCAGGAATTTTTCTTTCCCCTGGGGCCGTAAAACTTGCAAGCCTTACACTCGCGTGGGCACGAATGATCCTTTCAAAATTCAACCCAAAACGCAAAACCTTAAACCCTAAATCCTAAACCCTAGACCCTAAACCCTAAACCCTAAACCTCACCTCAAACCGTATCTTCCAAAGTAGCCACACGCTGGTGCCCAGTTGGCAGAGAGGGATCAGAAGATCCTGGAGCTCGAGGAGCAGCTTGCCGAGGCGCGCAGTGAACAAAGTCTGACGACCCCGAATGAGCTATTCAAGTTCAAAAACGCCCATTTTTAGGGTTTAGGGTTTAGTTAGGGTTAGGGGATTAAAGTTCAAGAAAGCCTTATGCTTGGTGGCCTCTTGGAGTAGGGTTTCTGTTTTGTAGGGGGTTCTTGTTAGGGCATCTAGGGGCTATATTCAGGTATAAGGGAAACAGATAAAGAGGCCACCGGCCTTTGTAAAGAAAGCCCTTGTAGGCTGTCGGCCGAGGGTTACTCAGGCGTGTGAAGGGTGTACCGGTTAGGGCGTGCGCACCCGTCCAGGTGCGTTCTTGGTGAAGTTCATTCGGGGGTTTGCGAAAATGTATGGGGTACCCCTTATATACCCCCTAAATATACCCCCCCAAAAAACCAAAATCCTTATTGCAGGAACCCCCCAAAAAGGGGCACCCCCCCTGTAGTTTCGGAAATCCCGATTGGTGGTGCCGTGAAGCCTTGGAACGTTCGGCCAGCTGCACGGAAGCCATTTGGGTATTGAGATCGAGCCCAGAATACGAATAACAATCATAATAAATAATGATAACTAAGTATTAATCATATGAATAACAATAATAAGAATCATAATAACAATAATCATCATCATCATCATCATCATAATCATAAAATAATATTCATAATGAATAATAATCATAATAACAAAAAAGTTATTATCATAATAATAATATTTATACCCCAAAACCCCCCAAGGGTACTCCTATTTTCGGAAACCCCACATTTGCACATGGTTTGCAGTTTGTTTCTGCTGAGTTGCGGCCCCATCCGCGCTTGCCAACGTTCCGGAACCTGTTGGATTCCGGGGCGGCAGGGCATTGGCCTGCACATCCCGGCCATGACCACCTTCTGGAACTGAGGATCATTGGCAAACATGGCCCGCGGTGTTGGTAGTCCCACCCTTCCCCACTTGTCCTTGCACCCCTACATGAACTACCTTCTTATGCAAGCCCTGCATGAATCATCAAGACCACCACGCCTAGACATTTGTAATCCTAAGCCTTCCGTCGAGGCCCGGCAGCGGGAAGCAGAGCTGCAGCGAAGACTCGCTGAGGTGACCTGGGGCGTCCTGGAGTATTATGCTTCGGGTTCAGGAACCAAAGACGTAACGTTGTGATCGATTTCGTATAAAGAAGCCTCCCACCCCCCCCCTCCCCCAAAGAAAAAACGAACTTGAGTTTTTAGGGCTGACGAGTTTCGCTCCTGGGGTAACCCTTTGGAAAGTTGTTTGGGGCCTCGTTTCGTAGCAGGTCGTTTATTGAAATGGGGGTTTGCGAAAATAGGGGACCCCTAACATAGACTCCAAATAGACGGATCACCTTATAACAAGGACCCCAATAGAATACCCCAAATTTCGGAACCCTAAGCCCTAAACCCTGCCCAAACCCTGAACCCGAAACCCGCAACCCCCGCCATACCCCAATTTCGGAAACCCCCACAGGATTTTTTAAATAAAACGATAAAAAGTGCACAAAAGCATATGCTAAGAAAAACAGCAACTTGAAACCGGGGTCTCCAGAGATTTGGGGAAATCTGGGGGCGCTTCAGGCTTTGGCCTTTGGGGGGCCCCAAGAGGCCTTGAGTTTTTGAGGTCTTTTTTGTGCTCAGGGACTCCAGGTCTTCGGATCTTCTGCGCTTTTCTTGTTTTTAAGGGTTTAGGGCTTAGGGTTCAGGGTTTAGGGTTTAGGGTTTAGGGTTCAGGGTTTAGGGTTTAGAGACGCGGGGGTCCCTGGCCCCCACGTACTATATAATGGACCACCATACAAGATCGGAAGCAACATGACTGTAAAGAGGACCTCTGTGGTTAGGACGGTCACAGCATGCACAACCGACCCTTTCAAGGACATTCGTTTTGGATTGGGGGGGGGGGGTGCACAGTGGACAATAGACACCAAAGGTAGAGCACTCCTAAGTGTGCCGGACTGTGTGACCCCAATGGCAAGGAAGCCGCGGGAACTCCGTGTGAGGGAAAGCCGCGGCGCGATTTCACACTCCTAAGCCTTGGCGAGAGGGGCAAACCGAATCCCAACCTTGCTGTTCTGTAGGCATCTGAAGATGTGCTTGTGGCATTTTGGCCGATAAGAGGTGCATTGTTTTGAGACTTATGCACTGGGATGTTATTGCGGTCTTTTCTTCAACCAAACAGTATCTCAGCAAGATCGGCCGCACAGGCCCACAGCGCGAGCCCCGGGGCACCAACTCCGGCCATGCCTACCCCTGAGGCGCAATAATAAGGAAGTGGGTTGGGGCGTTAAAGTAAGGGTACCTGGAGGTTCATGGTACTGAAAAACCAGTAAAAAGTGTACTTAGAACCATATTAGGGCGCTCAAGGGGCATATAAGTGGGTTATCAGTACAGATATAATTGGTTAATAAGGCCTAGGATTTAGGGGGCAGTTCAGGGTTTGGACGTGGGCAAGAGTTCGTCGCAAGCGTTGAAGCGGAATGCCTGGGATTGATAGATCCCAGAGAGCTCAGTACCCTTCTTCAAGGGCTGTACCTGAAGCGCCCATCCCAGCGCCTAACATCCCAATACTTGATGCTCAACCTGAACCGTAGACTGTAGACTTCAGGCCTGGTACCCTAAACCCCGAGATCATAATTCCTGCACCTGGAATCCTCAATTTCTCTCTGGCGGAAATTTAGCAATGGTCTTCCGATGTACTGTCTTGGACAGCATGCATCCTGGCAAGCCAGGTGCCATATCTTCAGAAGCCTGACAACATTACCGACTTCTGAACCCTAATAGGCCCTAATTCTTCCCTTCTGGAAGAAGCCTCGCAACCATAGGGACTCTGTAGCCGTAAGCTCGAAACCTCAGCATTGGACCCTTAAAAGCAACTCTGGGGTACACATAATCCTACCCTAAACCCTGAACCCTAAACCCTAAACCCCAAACCCTAAACCCGGTTAACCTTTTTTGGCCCAGGGTACTCAGCAATCCAGACTCTGCGGAGGCTCCCATGGCATCCCTGCCCTTGCCAGAGGAGGAAGAGGTGGAGCAACCCCGGGTTTAGGGTTTAGGGTTTAGGGTTCAGGGTTCAGGGTTCAGGGTTCAGGGTTTAAGCAACCCCTGCAATCCTTTCACTAATTCTGAAAGCATCTGAGGCCCTATGCCCTAAAGCTTCGGCCTCTTGCGGGGAAAGGGGTTTGCTGAAAGGCTCGAGGATCGAGGTTTGAAGCATCGAAACCTTCATTTCTGAAAAGTAGGACAGGCCACAAGGAAGGGTCCCAGTGAGCCTAAGTTTCCCAGGCTGCAGCCTTATCAAATCCTTTAGGTATTGGCCGCATTGCGGCTCAAACCGCGAAGCCCTCCCCATCCACCGGTGTTTAGCATTCGGGGGTCGGTCAGGTTGGTCTAAGATGTGTCTAGCGATGTAGCCCCAGCACCACCCTTCCCCTTGCAGAAATCCTGTGCCTCAACCTGAGATACCCTGAGATTTCTAAACCCTGAACCCTGAACACTGAACCCTAAACCCCGAACCCTAATCCCTAAACCCTAAACCCTAGACCCTAGACCCTAAACCCTAAACCCAATTCGACCCTCTTCAGGAGGCGAAGTCTGAGCCGCCGCCTGCCCCTGCGCGGGAACTCCAGGCTCATCAGGGTTCGTTTTCGAGGGCGTGGGGGGTTTTGGGGCTAAGGGTCTAGGGTCAGGGTCACACTCACATGCACACTCACGCTCACACTCACACGCTCTCTCTCATTCACTCTCACTCAAACACCCCTGCGCGCACTCACCAAGCCAGGTGCCCAGCGATATGGCTAGTGAGATCTGAGCTGGGCAACCGCCAGTGTTGGGCTTATCTTACGCCGTGACCCCTAAGTGGTGCAATTGTCTTTCTGTGTTTTCCACCAGTCCCCTCAAGAGCACGTGCCGTTCGCCGTTCACGTGGGTTTTACAGATTTTTGCATCCATTCTAAGGTCGACTCTTCGGAACGGCACTCCCACCCATTAGTCATTCGCATGACATCAGTACCTGCTCAGACACCTCGTGTGACAAGGAGTTGCATCCTCAGGGTTTAATTAGAAGCCCAAGGCTTTAGGAGTTTGGGATGTAGGATGCCGCAGGGCCGTCGATCATTCAGAAAACATGTGATGCAGGCCCGAAATGCCTGAACTCGACTTGCCCAGCCCCGAAGGTATTTGCGGCACCCCCAAAACCTGATCACCCTGCTTTAGCACAAAGGATACACAGCTGAACCCTTAGCATTGCGACTGGCTTCAGCTGCGTGAAAAGAATGGGCCTGACCAAATTCGCATAATACACTTGCCTTTGAGGGCTTACCCCCAAAGTCGTTGACTTCTTCCCGTCAGGCGCATGCCGTGAGCACGTGTAAACCCTACTTTTCCTGCAGTTCCGGAGATTCCCAGACCCCTACCGCCCCGTCTAGGATTAAGGTCTTTGATGCCAATAAGTACGTGTGTGGAAATTTTTGCGGCCTGGTGTTTACGCTTCATCTCCAGCTATGTACCCCCACAAGCCCTACCGGGCCCTGAACCTAAAGCTTATTCCTCTCAGCCTGTAACCCTCCCAAAACATCCCAAACCCTCGATGCCCTACAAGCCTGATAGAGCTCCAGCCTCGGGCCAGTTATGTGCAAGACAGAGTCGCATGATGCTCTTTGTTGAGGAGGTGTTGGAAGGGTGACTGTTGTATGGGCACTCGTCGCTAGCATCTGCTAGCTGCTAGCTGTCCATGCCAAAGCCGCTTGCAGTCCCCGAACCCCTCCGCAAATCGGAAAGGCCCTAACCCCTAAGCCCTAAACCCGAAACCCTAAAACTGCTGTCGCATCTGTTACGAGCTGCTGGAGAACTTAGAAGTCGCGCGCCCGATGCCTGCCGCGCGCAGTGCGACCGGGTGGCACTTTGGAGAAGACGTCTTTGTGGTTACAGTATTTCATGTTACTTCAGGGCACGTGGTTCAGTTTCTGATTCTGTTTGCAAAGCAACTTCGGGAATGAGCCACGAGGTGTCGTGGCGACAAGCTCATGGCTTAGGCAGTTCGGGACTACTTCACGAGTCTGACCTGAGTAAGGAACACTTAGAGCTAGAAAGGGCTCTCGAGGCTCAAGGTCTTGGAATTGTTGAAGGCAGGCGCCGCGTTGGCGTGTTTGAGTGCGAACGGCAAAGCCTACAAACGGCTGCCGAGCCAGCCGTCGAAATGTGTGCTAGGCTGAAACCTAGCCCTATATAAACCCTAAACCCTAAACCCTAAACCCTAAACCCTAAACCCTAAACCCTAAACCCTAAACCCCAAACCCCAAACCCTTCATCCTCAACACCGTGTTGAAAGCCCAAGCCTCGGCAAGGCACTGTCGCGGCGCCCTCCCATGTTGGAGTGAGCAGACAGTCTCTCAAAGGGGCCTGGAGCCCTAGCGCCGAGTGCAGGAAGAAGGGAGCTTTAGGGTTAGGGGTTTAGGGGTTTAGGGTTTAGGGTTTAGGGTTTAGGGTTTAGGGTTGACGATTTCGGGCTGGGTGGGCTGGCTGATGTTTTGGACGGTGTCCCTTGGACCGTTGACTTGGCTGTAAATTTGCGCACGGCGTTCTTCGGGTCCATCGTTGGGAGCCGACACGAAAGACGAAAGGCCTTGGCGGATGGCAGGCAGAGTACACGGGTGTTGGGCGCGAGTCCTCCTCACCCCACCCCCTCCAGCACCTCACGAGCACCTGAACCCGAACATGCGGGTGGTCAAGAAAAGTTGTTGGCTTGGCTCTAAACTCGTTACCGCAGCCGCAAGAGCGAAGGCTACTTAAGGGCCTGCTTAAAACCCGCCCAGACCCCGATTGCCGAACCCTAAACCCTAAACCCTAAACCCTAAACCCTAAACCCTAAACCCCAAACCCCAAACCCCAAACCCCAAACCCCAAACCCCAAACCCCAAACCCCAAACCCTAAACCCTAAACCCTAAACCCTAAACCCTAAACCCTAAACCCTACAGGAGGATGCCTCCGGCCTTGCCCGGCCCTCGGCGCACCCTTTGTTTCAAACACGGATTTTGGAGCGTAGGGGTTGGGATGTTCCCCCTTGTACTAGCAGTCCTAGATAGGTTTAGGGTTTAGGGTTCAGGGTTTAGGGTTTAGGGTTTAGGGATAGGGGGTACTAAAAGCCCGATTCAGGGCGTTTTTTGGCATAAGGGGGAACATCCCAAGCGTTGGGGCTTCAGGGGACGGAATGGGTTCAGGATTTGACTTTGTGTCGTAGCAGCGCGTCGACTTCTCACGTTACTAGACGATCCATTGCGCGCGCTCAACCATGAGCAGCATGACGCAAGAAACCAGCCTGGCTGGTTTAGGGGTTGCTGTTTGGCAACAACCTACTGGTGATGATTGCATGTATTGCTTTCCCATGGCTTTGGCTGGAAATAACAAAACGAGGAAAACATGATTGCAAACACTACCGAGGCACTGACGGGGCAGGCCGTTTTTGTTGGAGATTTAGGGGTTTTAGGGCTGTGGGGGTTGCCAAATGTCGAAAGAAGCCTGCTCCCCTCCCGAGTTAGCTGGGTCCAACCCTGTGTCCAAGGCATGAGCAACTGGAGATTTTTGGCCTGGCAGCTAGGAACAAACCTTGCGTCTTAAATTAGGGGTACCTTCTTGGGGTCCTTATCAGAAAGGGATCCTACTATTTGGGGCGAATGTTTTTCATAAACTCCGAAGTCTCACCATGCTGCAGCCAAGTCCTAACTCACCGTGACCGCTCGAGGCCTTTCACCGCGCGTAAGTCTCTCGTGCCCGATGCAGAGTGTGCGGCTCGGAGAGTTCCGTTCGCCTGCGACTTTTGCTCGCAAACCATGTGACACAGGGTTTATATTCCTGTTGTTGGTGAGTGTATATAAGGCTCCTTTTTAATATTGGTGAGTGTATGTATTTGGTGTCCTTTTGGGGGTACAAGAAATTGAAACCCTACTTCATGTGGGGGTTTCCGAAAGTAGGGGTACCTTCTTGGGGTCCTTATGCAAAGGGGATCCCACTATTTGGGGGACTATAAGAGACTTCGCAACCCCCCGTGTATTTTGGATTTCAGGCTGCAGGTGGGAAACCTGCAAATCTAGAGGTGGTCAAGTTTTTTCCCTCCCTTCATACGATTATACTGGCCAAGTTAGTTACCTGTAGTAGGTTGTCTTGGGGATGCTTCGAACGACGTGGGCTTCACGTTGAAAGAACTGTGGCCCCTGGAAGCTCTATCGGTCATAAGGCATACCAGTTCACTGCAGGGCTTGTGGTTTCAAACTCAAAGCAACCCTCGGTACCAAACCCTCCTAAACCCCCCTAAACCCCCCTAAACTCCCCTAAACCCCCCTAAACCCCCCTGAGCCCCCCTAAACCCCCCTAAGACACGAAGAACTGCCAAGCTCTGCTTTTCTGTCAGCTCGCGGCAGCGGCAGCCGCATCTTCAAAAGTCCTTGGTGCAGGTCGGGAGCTCTTCCGAAGCCCCCCCCCCTTAAACCCTAAACCCTAAACCCTAAACCCTAAACCCTAAACCCTAAACCCTAAACCCTAAACCCTAAACCCTAAACCCTAAACCCTAAACCCCCTAAACCCTAAACCCTAAACCCTAAACCCTAAACCCTAAACCCTAAACTAAACCTAAACCCTAAACCCTAAACCCTAAACCCTAAACCCTAAACCCTAAAAACCCTAAACCCTAAACCCTAAACCCTAAACCCTAAACCCTAAACCCTAAACCCTAAACCCTAAACCCTAAACCCTAAACCCTAAACCCTAAACCCCGTCTTTTTCGCAGGGTGGGTTCATGGTCAGTCTATGTGCATTTGGCACATGATCTTGCTGCTTCTGTTGTGGGTCTGCTTTGTGTTGCGTAGTAGTTGTTTTGAGTTTCTGCTGCAACGGTTCGTTCTGAGGATTCTCAGGGTTGAGCTCTGTCTTCCCTCGTCAAGCCCCCACGACTCACTCATGGGCATGCAGCGCTGGTGCTCGGTTTCTTTGTGCCAAGTTTGTGCAGTGTCGGGTGGTCAGGTGTAGGATCCAGCGGTCTGGGGATTCGAGTACATGATCGAGTTGAGTCTATAGTCCCGTACAGAGGTGAGGAGTTGACACTGCGGCCGAGACTGACATCCAGCCCGCCAAGCCCCAGACACCTCAAAATACCTTCAAGAACGGCCCAAAGTCGATGTTTTATTTTAAGTATATTTAGCTGACAAGTCCTCAGAGCCTCTTGGCAGGAGTCCGTAAAGTTCGAGCGGCGCACCAGGCTGGCCAAGCTGCAGACGTAGCTGAATGGACCTTTGCAGAAGCCTTGAACCTTGAGTGCCTCTACCAATGCGTTTCAGGGCAAGTAGTACAAGCTCTGAGATGGAAGTCGTGCTTAAGACCCAAAGCCGTCCGTCTGAAACCCCTCGAGAACCTAATACAGGGGTCGGAATACTTACTAACAATATACCCTTATGGTCTCTTGGTAGTTATACAATAAGAACCCCCAAAACCCTATTCGAATTATTCAGGCCCCGATATTACACAACCAAAAGCCTTGCGCTGTCACAGCTTTGGAGCCTTGGGAGCTCTTGCGGTGTTGGGACATGGTTTCGGTGAACGGTTTCGTGAATCATGGTTCTCAAGAGGTTGTAGTCGATTTCAAAAAGTTCTCGGGCACTGGAACCCAGGATCAAAGAAACAAGGCTTCTGAAAATCCTGGGTCTTGGGCGATTTCATTCCACCAGGTCTTATCTGGTACCCCTCCCAAGTATTGTCCTGCGGGGTCTTTCGTATTGATGCCAAGAAAACACACAGGTAGACCAAGGCCTCAGTCCTACTTTGAAGGGTTTTGGTAGGGTGTGACGTGCCATGTGATACGCTTTTTGCAGATGTGGACTGACCTCGTACTATATCCCCCTTGGGAATATTTTTTATTTTTGTTTATATAAAACCCAAGAGGATATTAACATATTATTTTTATTAAGGTTCTAAGGGGAGTATAGTGTAGTTTGCTCTGATCCTGGAGTCTTTCATATGGTCATCAAACCCAGCCGTTCCCGATTGGATCCAGGGTACTGCTTTTCAGAAGACTGAAGACTGAAGATGCTCTTCTATGCGATGTTTCCCAGATGCGCAGCGTAGGGTCCTCGTTGTCAGGGTTGGGGGTCAGGGGGTTGGGGGTGTTGACGTGAAGTCGTTGGGGCAAGCAAACTTGAAAGGCCCCGCCCCCCCCCCCCCCCCCCCATCCGCTAAATTAAGGCCTGGCCCCCCCCCCCCCCCCCCCATCCACTTAGCACTCACGGAAGCAGAGGGGTTTTCTTTCGCATGGAAATCCTGACAAGAACATCAGGACATGGCACTCACAGTCACGAAATAAAATGCGGACAGGTCCCGATGGTTTCGCAGTGTTCGGAAGCCCTCTCAACCCCGAGGTCCAACTAAAGCCTACCCCCTTCTTCTTCTTCTTCTCGCCTGAGTTCTTGGTGCCTTCTAGTGACCCACTTTTGGGGCATCATTGCTTCTTGCCTCATCCTTTGAAGCCTCAGCTCTGAGACCCGCATTCTTTTTTTTAAAGTTTGGCTAGGGTGAGTGGGAGGTTCGAGGTGGGAGGCCCGGAAGCGGCTGGTGCTTGTGCTGCAGGCAGACGGAGCGGGTCGTCCCCTGAGTTGGGTCTCAAAGGGTTTTTAAACCCTAAACCCTAAACCCTAAACCCTAAACCCTAAACCGTAAACGTCGTCCGGGGCGATGTGTAGCGCGATTCAGTTGTAAGGTGCCTGGCGACCCTGTACTAAAATAGACGGCGGCAAGCTGTTGGATGCCGGCGTGTACTGTCGGGTTCCGGACGGTTGCACTTCGTGCAGGAGTTGAGTTGAGCTGCTCATACAAACCCCTGAATAGTCCAACGAGTGAAGCGGCTCTCGACAACCATCTCAGCTGGCTTCCTCGGGGTTTAGGGTTTAGGGTTTAGGGTTTAGGGTTTAGGGTTTAGGGTTTAGGGTTTAGGGTTTAGGGTTTAGGGTTTAGGGTTTAGGGTTTAGGGTTTAGGGTTTAGGGTTTAGGGCAGGCACCATTGCTCTTTGGGACCCGGGTTATAACTTACTACTCACCATGTGAGGCCTCGAGTTCCTGATGAGCATGCAGCGGAGGTTAGAATGTGCTTGGGTTTAGGGTTTAGGGTTTAGGGTTTAGGGCTTGCGGTTTAGGGTTTAGGGTTTAGGGTTGGTACCGAAACTGACAATATTCGCACGAAGCTAGGAATGAGAGCGATGATGGCCGTAAGTTTCATGTACCTTGGATGTGCATCATGTACCGTACGGAGTCTTTGCGCTAAGACGCTCAGACATCGGCGCAGGGTCGTCAAATGCTGGAATCAAAGCTCAACTATCGGGGAGAAACCCTAAACCCTAAACCCTAAACCCCAAACCCTAAACCCTAAATTTGATCTTTGGGGATTTCTCGGCATCAGGGACCGCTGTCCTGCGATGGACACCCAGATGCAAAACACGACAAGAGATGGTAAACTCAGCCCCCTAAACCTTAAACCCTAAACCCTAAACCCTAGACCCTAAACCCCAAACCCCAAACCCTAAACTCTAAACCCTAAACCCTAAACCCTAAGCCCGATCTGAAGCGAGCCCAGAACGACGGCGATGATGTTGAGTGGACGACCGGCGAGGCGCTGTGCTGGGTTGGCTTTCCGGCCCTAGGTGCGCTCTCCGAACAACTCCAGTCCCGTAAAAACACGCTAAGTTGATGCGCGGAAATCTGGAACCTGTCTGATGCCTTGTGCTTAAGGTTAGCTACGAGACAGAACCCAATAGCGACAGCAGCCGGTCCTCCATGATTGGCGATCCACTGCAATCAGCCAGCTGCACCCAAGCCAATATAGGCCCCCAAAAGGGGCTGTTTGAAGGGTTGGAGCCCTAAGGACAGACATCAATGGAATAAGTTTTTCTTATAAAATTGGAAGGAAGCCCTTTCAACGTAGTTGAGGGAGCAGTCCTGAATTTGGGGCAGTTTGTTGGTGGCCAAGCCCAAAAATTTTACAGCGGGCATCCCTACGCTCTCCAACTCAGATTCTTGGGACCTCAGCCTCGATCCCCTATCTTACTTGTGCTTGAGAAACGTTAGGGTTTCGGGTTTAGGCTTTAGGGTTTAGGGTTTAGGGTTTTGGGCTAGCTACGTATGGAAGTACCGGTGACATGAGCCACGGATCGAACATGGATTCACATGGCGTACCTTCAGGCTCGAGGTGCATAGGAGAAATTGGCCTACGTTAGCCTGGCTTTCTCTGGATCCGTGGCCCTCGACACCATGGCGTCAGCAGATGCGATGCCAGCACCTTGTTAGAACTATCGATTTCTGAGTGTTATGTATCATTTATCTGCGCGCCTTGAGAAGTTTCCAAACGCTTAGGCAATGAGACTTCTGCAATACCTGTGAAGACGAACTGACGTGCAATCGAATCAAAACTTTGTGGTTGCTGCGAGAGCTATGTCTGAAACAAGCATTGACATCCATCACGCCTGAGTCTTGCTTTGTCTACAAGCAGTTGTCAGACAAGTCCTCAGTCCTCTATAACAGCCTTCACATTGCATAAACTTGAGACAGAGGATGGAGTCGTCACTGCGATTACAGCAAAGCAGAAGTTCCACAATCCAAAACCCTAAATCCTAAACCCTAAACCCTAAACCCTAAACCCTCAATTAGCAGACCACTACTCAGGTTCTTATGGAGCACGACATCACTGTGGTCAACACCTTCGTTCAGGCCGGGGCGTCCAATGAAGCCCCTGACATGTGCAGGACCATGCAGCGCCGGGCTTGGGGTTTAGGGTTTAGGGTTTAGGGTTGGTGTCTGTTTCGTCCATGTGCTGTGGATTTCTTCTCCGCGCGAAGCTGCCAGATTCTTCGTCTTGTTCTCCTCAGTGCGTTCAGGCTTCGACGAGCCCTCTAAAGGACGGAGCAAGCCTTTGTCTCGCCTTCTTTAGTCTTGAACATTGCTGAACTCTAAAGAGTGCAGCAGGGCGTTTGTAATGTGGCTATCTCTCGGTACCTGCATGAGCTTCTGTTCGTGTATCTGAAGCAATGCTAACGGGATCGGGCATGTCGGGGTATTCCTCGTGGCGCCATTTGTCGCCACCTTTGGACCCTCAGATTTTCGACACGTGTCAAGCGTGTCAACGGTCGCGGCTGGGTGTCTCCTCGCGTCTTTGTGTTGAGTCGTGTCGCGTCGTCTCATGTCGTGCTCTGGTGTGGCGCCTTGTGTCGCGTTGTCGAGTTGTGTCATCCTGTCATGCCTTTGTCTGTGGCGTGTCCTCGTGTCGCGTCGCCGTGGTGGCCGTGACGTCGACAGAGGAATCCGGAAAGACTCGTGACACGTGGCGCATTCGGGCACATGGCTCCTTGCGGTTTCTGAGTCAGGGTGCCCGCTTTGCCGAGGGCGTGAACAATGATTCTTCTGAAGCATTCCTGGAAGGGAGCCTACGCTGACTAAACCGCGACAGCCCTTCGTTCACCCTGGCGAGCTTGCAATCGATGCAACCTCCACCTTGATTCGAGCCCGAAAAAACATAAACGCTGACTTCCGCATCTGAGCCATCAATACACCACAATTGATACCCCTAGAATGAGTACCCTCGATGGCTTAAAGGCATCAGCACCCGAATGGGGGCTCGGGACCCGCCTTGCATATGATGAGCAAAAGCGAAAACAGACACATGTAAGGACCTCGACCCCTAAACTACTCTAGGGGTCGGAAGACTTAGAATAGGGTTATTATAGTATAATTACAAAGGGACCCTAAGGGAATATTAGTAATTATTCCGACCCCCTATGGTACCTATGCCGGCAGGTTTCCGAGGCCCGCCCGCGCCAGCGCTTGCAGCGCTCGCAGACGGCGCCCGAAACGGCACTGGAGGAGGGCATTGAGGCGACTGCCATGTTTTGGCTTGGGATGTTCGGGGAGTCTTTTGCATCGTGCCAGGCTTTGAATCGCTGAAGAGTCGACTACAAAAGGGTTTGGTAGGTTCTCTCAGGCCCAAAGTGTACTGGAGCTAGGTCGCTCGGTGATTGAGATCGACGAAGTTGTGACAGCATGTTTCTTCTGCAATGTTCTGAGTTGCCGGCAAGTGCCCTGCAATGCGTCGCGAGTGTCAGCTAGGCAGGTGGCATGGCAACAGCCACTGCATCCTGTCCAAGGGTTTAGGGTTTGAGGTTTAGGGTTTAGGGTTTAGGGTTTCGCCAGAAGCTCCAATTCGGGGGGGGGGGGGGGGGGCCCTGCTTGTTTAAGGCTTGCAAAGACTGCTGGGAAGAACCTCACGAAATGAAAAAGACTTGCTTCGAAATCCACATGCATCTTTCCAAACCCGTCATACGACCACCCCTCCCCACCCCCCGCCCCCCCCCCCCACTCCCGCGGATTTTGTTTGTTTTGGTTTTTGTTTCGGGGGCGGGGGGGGGAGGGGAGGCAACATTTCTACAGCAGCTTCTCTGCTCCGTTATCCTGATACAACCAGGCCAACCTTCTGACTTTTTGAACATCTCTGAGTCTCGGAAGTCATCGGGCACTCAAGCAAGTAGAGTTGCTCTTTCCACTGCGCAGAGGTTTCCTTGAGTTCTCAGCTAGGATAGCCCGTTGTGAAACTCCCGAAGCAAGCGCCGCAGCGGTTTGCAATTCCCGACCGGCGGCCATGCACAGGAACAGCTCGACATGGAGGAGCCCATGGCATCTGAAGGCATCCCAGATTCGTGCAGCAGCTTCCAAGCGCTGAAGCCAAAGCATTCCCCATAGGAACATTTTTTACATCATGAAGCACTCCAGCAGAGAGGCTGAGGCGGGTGGTATGCTGTAACCGCGTATCCTTTTTCCAAACCCCATGCCTTATCATTGATTGATGCTCACTGGAGCCCCAGAGACTGAGAGAGGCAGGCGAAACTAACGATTCATGCACGGAACGCTGATGTGCAAGAGATCTCTGAAACTCCTTGTTACGCCGCTACTGCCGAGAGCTGTAGACCCTACTGCCCTGCAAAGAAGAGCCTGAAATCTTTCAACGTCCTTAGCCATCCTGGCGCGTGATTCCCGCAGCCACGAAGGCGATTTCCACACCGCAGACAATGTCACCGAGCAAAAGGCCGACAAAGAGGCGTGATGGACGGTCTATCCGCGACTTGTGCATCGTAGTAGCTGAGTGAGTGCACTTTACGCTTTTTGGGATACTTAATCCCCCACAGAACTGAAAGGGTGCACTTTTGGGGGGCTTATGAACTCAGCAACTAAGGCATGTAAAGGTTGAAAAAGCCACAAACTTCGCAGCACAACCTGCAATCAAGCACTGGCCGTTCGTTGCTCTCATTTAGCGTTTTCGCCGTGCAGCTTGGTATACGTTGTCCAGGATATTTGCGAGGTTCATGGGACATGCTCAACGGAGGCTTGCAGATTCAAAGCTACATGCTTGATGCTTGCAATGGTGATGTTGCGGTAGACCGCTTTTCATTCAGCGCCCTGTCATTCGCTTAAATCTTGGTACGAAGTGGTTTGGGCGCAGCAAATCTCGGAGAACCACTCGGGATTTTGAACTTACCGTTTTTGGGGGACGCACGCGTGCGCACGCGCGCGCGCACGGGGCGAGGTGCCTAAGCTCTTGCTCTCGATGCCTTTCTTTGCTACTTTTTCCTCTGTTCTGGAAGGTGATTGAGGAATCACCAGAGGCCAGCGAGCCGGTGAAGATGACCGCCGCCCGGCGGTAAAGGGTGTTTGTTGCCGTGCCACGCCATGCAGAGCGCTTCCTGTCGTGGATGTCGTTCTTGTCAGTCTTTCTTCTCGAAGTGCTATTGCTCGTAGACATACGAGAATAGTAGGAGTAGGAGTAGAAGTTGAATTAGGAGTAGGAGGAGGAGGAGGAGCAGGAGGAGCAGGAGGAGCAGGAGGAGCAGGAGGAGCAGGAGGAGCAGGAGGAGCAGGAGGAGCAGGAGGAGCAGGAGGAGCAGGAGGAGCAGGAGGAGCAGGAGGAGCAGGAGGAGCAGGAGGAGCAGGAGGAGCAGGAGGAGCAGGAGCATCAGCAGTAGCGGTAGTAGCTGTAGTAGCAGCAGTACCAATAGTAGCAGTAGTAGCAGAATTAGCAGTAGTAGCAGTAGAAGCAGTAGTAGCAGTAGTAGCAGTTAGTAGTAGTAGCAGTAGTAGCAGTAGTAGCAGTAGTAGCAGTAGTAGCGGTGCAAGCGGTAGTAGCGGTAGTAGCAGTGGTCTTGGTTGGGGGTTGGGGTGGGTGTTGGTGTTCGGTGGTTGGCTGTTGGTTTGTTGGTTGTTGGTTGCTGGTTGCTGGTGGGTGGCGGTTGTTGGTTGTTGTTGGCGGTTGTGGTTGTTGCCGTGACCACTGGCTGTTCCTCTTACTTGCTCCATTTTTTCAGGGGACTGCAAAACTTACTGTAGGCTTTTCAGGGGAAGCTTTGCTGAAGGTTAGTAGAGATTTAGGGATCAAGTGTGCTCGGTTTGGATTTTGTAGAGCTCGGGTTGTTTGGTTGGCCAAGGTCAAGAAACTACAGACCCTACGCACGCTGAATCGCTCCCCGGCATGCAAGAATACCGTACTGGCTTTTGAGGTGTCAAGGAAGTGGCTCTCCGATAAGCTCGGCAGCTAGGCTTTGGAGAACAGTTTCTTCCGAGCCAGCGTTGCAGTAAGCCCGAGGCCACCATGGCCCTAAACCCTAAACCCTAAACCCTAAACCCTAAACCCTAAACCCTAAACCCTAAACCCTAAACCCTAAACCCTAAACCCTAAACCCTAAACCCTAAACCCTAAACCCTAAGCCTAAACCCTAAACCCTAAACCCTAAACCCTATGGCCCCTCAGACCTGCATGCTTAGTCGCCATAGTCGCTGTAGTCATTGAGATCAGCCTCAGCAGTATCGCCGCTCCCAGTAAATGCCAGCGCTTAGCGGCTCCTGGACCTTTGCTGCATCGACACATCTTCTGATTTTCTCTTTTAGGGTTTAGGGTTCCCATCATTCCTAAGCAAGGTTCGTCACTTGCGGCTTAATGTTGAGGGCCTGGAGCTTAGGGGCCAGTGTTCCGACTCCCCAAGGCATTGGTGCAGACCCTGCCGACGGTCTTAATTTGGAGCGGGGGGCTCCACCTGATAGGCTCTTTATATACGGAATTGAGTGTCTTTGTCAGCACTGGCGGCTCGCAGTGTTCAAGGGGTAGGCCGCACGTGTGCCATGGGGCCCTTGCCGTCGCTTGTCCTGGTGGCCCTCGTGGCTCACGGCCTGGTTCTCCCGGATGTGGTGGAGGACGTGGCCGAGGCCGTGGACTTCGAGCCGGCGGCGGGAGCTTCGGTCTCCCTGCAGGGCAAAAGCATCCGAGTCAACTACACCGTGACAGGACACCTGGCCCTGCACCCGCGGCTGCCCACAGCGCTGGCAGAGAACCCGGTGTGGCTCCCCACGGCGGAGCAGCTGCAAGGGCTGTCGACGAAGGAGGCGGAGCAACGACTCGGCTTCTTCGTTTCCGCGCACATTCTCGTCTGGATGGGCTTCTGCCTGGTGGGCACCTTGATCATGACGCGCTGTGGGGAGCGCTTCCTGGACCGAGACGCACATGCGAGATTGGAGGAAGAGGGGACCTCACTGGACGGACTCGACATTTTTGGAGCCTTCTTGGTCACATACCTGGCCTGCCTGGTGGCCGTGGGTCTGAGCATGCAGTTGGGCAGGCTCTCCAAAACCACCGGGCTCGACTACGAAGTGTACTTGGCCCTGTTCACCGCACAGGGCATGAACCTTTTGTGGCAGGCCAGGCAGGCCACCAGGAGGGTGGGCAGGGCTGAGAGATTCCCGATCGACACTTTCGCCCTGGGCACGGTGGCAGGAATGCTGCCCTTTCTATCAGACACTTTCGACACCCTCAAGGACGCAGGGACGGGCATTATAGGCGTTTAACTGTTTGAACAGGGTTCGGGCTTTGGAGCGTTTAAGCAGATTAAACAATTCGCAAGGCCCAACGTTTAAACATTTGGTGGGGCTCCAGAGCGTTAAACACGTTTAAGAAGTTGTTGCCAAGTGTTTAAACAATCCTCCGGGCAGTTGCTGGCCCAAGATTGGTGCTCTGCAAAACCCGTGAGCTGAAACTTCGAGAACCTACACCTTGTGAAGCCCTAAGCTTACTGCTCTTAGCCGGTAGTCTTCTAGTTCTAGAGCGCGTACCTTTGCAGCCACTCTATGTTTACATTTTACAGTTTAAGCAGTTTAATGTTTAAACCACGTTTAAACAGTTTAAACCGTTTAAACATTCTGAGCCGAAGGGGCGCTGTGTGTTTAAACATTGGGCGTTTAAACGCCCAAAGTTTAAACCGTTTAAACACAACCTCCCGCCCAACCCTGCAAGGACGTTGTCTTTGGGGGCCTTTGCCTGATGTCAGAACACTGGACCTTGCGAGCTGTTGGCGTGGCCAGCTGGCTGTGGCTGCCGGCGCTGCACTTTCAGTTGCTAAGGAAAGATGCCCACTGCGCGGCTGACCTCTCGGGCAGCTATTTCCCCTTTGCGAGTGTACAGACATCGAGCAAAGCAGCAGCAGCAGAAACCGCAAGAATGACGGGGGATGAGGGCTGCTGTTGGGCAAAGGTGGAGAAGGTCCTCTACGAGCTCTACAAACAGACGAGCCCAGGGAAGGTGAGATTGCTTCTCTGGGAGGCGAAGATGGGTCCATTAAGTGCCCGCCTATGATTGTGGTCGATAGACCCCTATATAGACCCCTATAGAGACCCCTATGGTTTGTGGATAGGGTCCTATGCCCTCAGCCCTCTCCGTCCTTAGTGGAAAGGCCCTGCTCGTTTCTGCATCGACCCCTATGCATAGTCCATGGGTCCCTAGCCTCCTCCGGATAGACCCTACCCACAAACCGATAGACCCCTATGCTGACCAAATTTATTCTTAGCGCTGAAGCGGCAAGGTTTTCGTTTATTGACTTTATTGACAGTTGCTTTCACTTTGTCTTCGCACTGCTCTTTCCCGCATGCCGCATGCCCTTGCATTGGGTTTTTAGGGTTTAGGGGTTTTTAGGGCTTAGGGTTGTTTTAGGGTTGAGGGGCGTTTTGGGGTTTAGGGATTCTTAGCCCCCCATCCCATTTGCAAACACAACGCTCGCATGATGCGTTCGCAAACGCAATGCTCGCATGATGGGTTTGAAAACAAAGCATGCCTACGTTTGGGGGGCTTTAGGGCTTTGAGTTTAGGGTTTTTTTACGGTTTGGATTGATTAGTGTGTGGGGCTTAGGGTTTTCTCGGGTTTAGGGTCTTTTAAGGGCGGCTTAGGGCTTAGGGCTTAGGGGTTTTTAGGGTTAGGGATTTTTTAGGGGTTTAGGGCTGGGGTTTTAGGGTTTGGGGTTTGGGGTTTTGAGGGTCTCTGGGAGGCCGGGCCACAGGGCCTCTTCGCCATCGCTTACCTGTACTTGGAGGGCGGCTCTAAGTTCGTCACGCTGCTGCAGGTCGTCATCCCGGCCGCGCAGGTGGCCTTCGCGCGCCTGAGCCACCGGCAGCTGGGGCACTGGACGATGGCGTCCATCGCAAAGCGCCTGGCGGTTGCCCTTTCTACCGGCAACCTCGCCCTGCAGACCTCCTTGCTGATGGCCATCCTGGAGGCCGACCCGAAAGACCGGGCCTGGGCTCTGACGGCTAGCGGCATCGGATCTCTGCTCGACCTAGAGGGCCAGGACACGGTTGACAACGGCAGTTTCCGCGATGGACGCAGTGGTCTCTCCAAGGCAGTGGCGCTCGCGGAGGCGCTGAAAGTGAACACCGCCGTGAAGACGATCGAGCTTGGGGGAAATCTCATCGGCGACGTCGGCGCGGTGGCCCTGGCGGAGGCGCTGAAAGTGAACACCACCGTGCAGACGATCTACCTTGCGAACAACTCCATCGGCGAGGGCGGCGCGGTGGCCCTGGCGGAGGCGCTGAAAGTGAACACCACCGTGCAGACGATCTACCTTGCGAACAACTCCATCGGCGAGGGCGGCGCGGTGGCCCTGGCGGAGGCGCTGAAAGTGAACACCACCGTGCAGAAGATCGATCTTTGGGGCAGCTTCATCGGCGAGGGCGGCGTGGTGGCCCTGGCGGAGGCGCTGAAAGTGAACACCACCACCGTGCAGACGATCGAGCTTGCGAACAACTCCATCGGCGAGGGCGGCGTGGTGGCCCTGGCGGAGGCGCTGACAGTGAACACCACCGTGCAGAAGATCGATCTTTGGGGCAACTTCATCGGCGAGGGCGGCGTGGTGGCCCTGGCGGAGGCGCTGAAAGTGAACACCACCGTGCAGAAGATCGATCTTTGGGGCAACTTCATCGGCGACGGCGGCGCGGTGGCCCTGGCGGAGGCGCTGAAAGTGAACACCACCGTGCAGACGATCGAGCTTGCGAACAACTCCATCGGCGAGGGCGGCGCGGTGGCCCTGGCGGAGGCGCTGAAAGTGAACACCACCGTGCAGACGATCTACCTTGCGAGCAACTCCATCGGCGAGGGCGGCGCGGTGGCCCTGGCGGAGGCGCTGAAAGTGAACACCACCGTGCAGACGATCTACCTTGCGAACAACTCCATCGGCGAGGGCGGCGCGGTGGCCCTGGCGGAGGCGCTGAAAGTGAACACCACCGTGCAGACGATCGAGCTTGAGTACAACTCCATCGGCGAGGGCGGCGCAGTGGCCCTGGCGGAGGCGCTGAAAGTGAACACCACCGTGCAGAAGATCGATCTTTGGGACAGCTTCATCGGCGAGGGCGGCGCGGTGGCCCTGGCGGAGGCGCTGAAAGTGAACACCACCGTGCAGAGCATCCGCCTTCGTCAAGAGGATATCGGAACGAAAGGACGGAGGGCGCTTGAGGCGGTGGAGGAGGTGAACAAGAACAAGCGCATCGCTGTCGACTAGCCGCTAGCTGTCTGAGAGTTTCACCCGGCGCAGCCCGTAGGTCGAAGGCCACGCGAACGCCAATCCGTCGCTGTGAAAAGCGAAGCCTTGGTTTCGGGGGCTTGGGTTTATCGAGTCAAGTGGGTTTATTGGGCTGGGGTTTCTTGGGGTTTGTCACGTTTTCTTGGGGTTTCTTGGGGTTTTAGGGTCTTATAGGGTGCGCAAGTGTAGGGCTTGAAGGATCGGCGTGGAGTCCGAAGGGATTTGGAGCGACGCCCTCGTGCTTAGTAATCACTCTTGTGGAAGCGGGGAGTAAAGCTGGGCCGAGGTTTTCAATCTGGCTTGAAACCCGGGTGGGAATCTGCAGGCTGCCAGTCGGTTCTAAGATTCTAGGGGTTTACAGTGCTTAGTAATTTCATGTCCTTGTCTCGGAATCCTGGCTTTACGAATTGAGGCTGCCAGGTCAAACTCTCAACATTCCTAAGGCCTAGGCCCTCAACAACGAACCTGCCTTCAGGCCATATAAGTTTCCGGTCATAAGTCATAGGAGTCATAGGAGTCATAGGAGTCATAGGAGTCATAGGAGTCATAAGAGTCATAAGAGTCATAAGAGTCATAAGAGCCATAGGAGTGGAGGTGTGATGGGGAGGGACCGCAGGTTTTGAAACGCCGGACCCTTGGGATCTGGAGCCTGGCCAGCAGCGAGAACCTTTGGAACTTTGAGGTGTTGATTTCAATGTTGACTGCTTCGTTTTTAGTGGTTGGCGGAGTGTGTTTGTAGGTATGTACATCCAAGTTTTGCAGCTCGAACCGCCAATCGCCCGAAAAACAGCAATCGCTCATACTAGAGCTCCATCGCGAGCACCGTCCTGCTTCTAATAGCTCCCTTCCAGACAAGAAACATTCTCTCAAAAGACACATTGCAAGCAGCACTCCCTGTACAGTTTGGGCAGGAAGCTTCTGCCGAAAGAAATCGAAAGCACTTTCGCAAGGAAGACTTTGTGAATGGTCGTCTCACCGTCCCCTTAGACTTTGAGAGGAGTGTCTCATGCCAACTGCAACAAAGCGCAAGCGCTGCCCCCCTAAAACGTTCGCAAGCACTGTGCCCCTAACATAACAAAGCCCATCATGAAGGAAAGCTGGAGGCCTGGCCTCCTGTTTCTATCCTTCTGCCTTCATTTGCAAGTTTCCTGTATCATGATCAGAGGGACCACTGTCTCCCTCTCTCTCTCGCTCTCTTTCTCTCTTCTTGTGGAAAGGGGGAGGGATTTCAGGAAAAGAGGCGCGCAGGTGGAGTTTGAGCAGCGACAACATAGGTAAGAAGGTCGAAACGCGTAGGCCGATGGGGCCAATCACGTGCGCATCGGCTCTGGGGACAACAGCAGTCACAAACGGCGCCCGCGTCAATTTGACCGCCCCTGACACGGTACCCACCAGGACCGTAGCAGCACTGACCGCCAGTATACCCCCTGTTCATGGATTGGTGTAGTGTGGTAGGTTTGAAGTGCATAATGTCGAGGAGGTGTCACACTGTCAGCTCTTTCTCCGACCAGGCAGCCCTGTTGGTCGGTGATTCCGTTCCGGTCGATACGCAATCAGACCAGGATTCCCCCAGCACAAAGCGCCCGTCTGATTGCCGAGACTATTGAGGGGCGTTGTCACTGGGACCACACGCGTCGTGCCAATTTGTGGAAGGACCAGTGGCAGGGCCGAAAGGCCTCTCTGGGGCGGTGAAAGGAAGTGGTCTATCCGGCCGGGTTCTCATAAGCACGCCGGTTCGTACCCTTCTTGCACCAGTCGTGAATGTGCACCTCTCGGTTCTTGCCTCTGTTTCGCTGTCTGCGGGAAGCACTGTCCTCGCTTGTGATGGGCAGCTTCGACGATGTGAGATTTTCCACATTTGGCTTTCTCAAGCTGTCAACAAGTACGGGCATCTCAACCAAGGACCATTCCCATGCCCTATACACTGCAAAATCAAACAAGATCCTGCGACCTTAGCGGTGAAAGTCCTACATCCCACATGCTTCACGGATACCAAGCATGCGCCGATGTTTTCGGATCTTTTCGGTGTGGTTCAGTATGTTGTTGCTGATGATTATACCAGTATTTCCTACTGGTAGTGCTCGGAAGTGGCAGAATCTCCTAATGTTCGGCAGCTCCTGTGGGAAAGAAAGTACAGCTGGAGTTGTTCGGCTGATGGGACATCTGCCTAGGAAGCACTCTGCAAAAGCTCCTTGGCCAAGAGTTAACTTTGGGTGGGACATGGTGTTAGAAGTTCGGGCTTAAAAATCGGAAAGGGATCGTCAATCCTGATCACAGTGATAACATGAATGTTCGGAGTGGCTTCGGAGTTCAAGTTTTCGGAAGATGGTTTTTGTATCTTTTCGTCTTTGGAATTGGCCTCTTGGTTGGTTTTGAGGCAAAACAGGAGCCAACGTGCTGCAACTCTGCCACGAGTTAATTACGACAAACCCGGCAATACCCGCACCTCCTCCTATTTAAATCCAGTCCAAGCCCATCATGACGTCATGTGCGCAAATGGGGGGGGTGGCAGACTGTGTTAGAAAACGCGCTGACATCTGCTTCAGGTCCATTCCTGAAGTCTGAAACCTTCAAGATCCCAATCTCCGGAGTTGGCGACCAGAATCTCCTGAAACCGGACTAGCCCAAACCGTAAATATCTCTAAAGCTGGCCCCAGCTCCCTCAACCCCATCTCGTCCTCCGAAATCGTCACGCTGCAGCCCCCACAACCCACCGAAAGCCCAAATGCCATAAGTTGCGGACACACCTCACAAATCCTAAACCCTAAACCCTAAACCCTAAACCCTAAACCCTAAACCCTAAACCGCAAAGCGTAAACCCTAAACCCTAAACCCTAAACCCTAAACCCTAAACCCTAAACCCTAAACCCTAAACCCTAAACCCTAAACCCTAAACCCTAAACCCTAAACCCTAAACCCTAAACCCTAAACCTCCACCCCACACCCTAAACCCTAAACCCTAAACCCTAAACTAACCCTCATCAAGGCCCTGAAGCCTGCAGCTCCTGAAAAGCTCGATCGAACGCGGAGGCCTCGACGAGTCACCGGAGGAGACGCTGCCAGCCAAGGCCAGCGTCTCGAAGCCGCGCCCCGTGGCTTTAGCTACTTTGCGAGGGCCGGAGAAATATTGAGCCGCCTTGTGCTGAAGGGGAAGGCGCTCCTTCCTTCGTTTTTGTTTGTCGGCATTTTTGGGGGCTTCGGGTGCAGTTTCGGAACGGGTCGGGGTGCACACCCTGCTGTCTGTGTGCGCGTGTTTCAGTCGGGTTTCGGGCCGGTCTGGGATGGGATCTCGAGGCACGGGGCTTTTCACGGCTCCTGATTGCAGCAATTGCAGGTACGAGGCTTCTGGGGCCTGAGATCTCGGCATGTACATAAAGCTGCAGACTCTATTCTGGGTCTAACCATGGGACGCTGGTACCACGAAAATATCCGCTGAACTGCTGTTATTGGTTGACTCTCTTCCGTCACCCGCCATCTGAGGCCTCTTGCACTCCGCAACCCCGGACCGATGGGCAGCGAGGTTACGAGCAGTTGCTGGTGATCGGTTCGGAAGGGCAGTCTGTATACAGCCAGTGCTGCAAGGCTGAAGGGTTTGCAGGCCCCAGGATCAAATGCGGAGTTCCAGTATGTTCTTGACGTTCCGTTGAGTATGCCGGATGGGCCAAGTTTGGCCTCAGTGCGGGGGCGGTGCCCGGGGTGGGGGGGGCATATACTCAAAGGCAGAAGTCATTTTGAGCCTTTGTGTTCAGCTTTTGCCACCCGTGACTCATGAAGCAAAATTTGCAAACTTAGGAGTGGGACGCGATGGTCCAGGAGGAGAAGATGACAGAGTCCCGCTCCTGAGCTGCAATCCGGAAACCCTGCAATTGCTGTTGTGATTGGCGCGGTCTTGCTACTTGATGATGTTGGTGTGAACATGTGTTGCGATCGCAAGTGTGAGGTCCAGCCGTACTTTCGGTCCTGTAGAAGCACTTGGGGAAAACGTTTTCTCGCAACTGGTGTTATTCTGGTCAGCTCAGGTAACTGCACAGCCTGAAGTTTCATACGCAGCGATTCGATACGATCAGGACTATAAATGTTCGTCTTTTTTCCCGCCCAACAACGACTTTTCAGCTGCTGCGACCGACTCGGCTATTTTGCGGCCTGTTTTGTTGATGCGTGCGTGAGCATGCCATGAAACAAACGAACGAAGAACGACAGGTACTGCCTTGTCGATGGTGGTGCGCCTCACCATCCTTTGCGATGGCCGTTAAACCCTAAATCCTAAACCCTAAACCCTAAAACGCTAAACCCTAAATCCTAAAACCCAATGAGACTGCAGACGCTGGGCTTGCCTAAGTCCACCAGGATTGGCCCTGGCCGGCAGTCAGACCGGGCAGTTTGAGCGACGTTTAATCTTGACGAAAGGGGCTTAGATACTGAGTAGATGTACGAGGATTGATCCTTCAACCTGGCTTCTACATACAGCCTCGCGCTTTTGCTGACATGACCTACGGTTGGCGCCTAACCCTAAACCCTAAACCCTAAACCCTAAACCCTAAACCCTAAACCCTAAACCCTAAACCCTAAACCCTAAACCCTAAACCCTAAACCCTAAACCCTAAACCCTAAACCCTAAACCCTAAACCCTAAACCTTTGAGGCCACAAGCCTGTCATGGCCCCGGCCTTGGCTCAGCCGTCCACGAGTGCGGCAGCGCCCGTGCCTGCGCCCTCGGCCTACGTCCCCGCGCAGCCCTGCCTGGCCCAGGTAGGGCTTAGGGTTTAGGGTTTAGGGTTTAGGGTTTAGGGCTTAGGGTTTAGGGATGTTTAGGGTTTAGGGTTTGGGTTTAGGGTTGGTTTAGGGTTTAGGGTTTAGGTTTTAGGGGATGTTAAAGGGGCTCTGGTCGCTGGTTTGGCGTTTTGGTTGCTGTCTTTGTTGCGGCGCAACTTTGCAGGCAATATGGATTTGCTCAACACGCGGCAAGTTCTGATCGGCACGATTGCTTGTCATTTCGGGTCGGTGATGAAACGTAGATGGCTGGCAGTGGGCGAATTCTTGCTACATCTGTGCTGCTAAAGTCGTGAGCTTTGGGACCGTTTGCCCGGTATTTCCGGACCTCAGTGAGTGCGTGTTTTCCACAACAGTCGAACACAGGTACGAGATAGTTCAGCACCGAGGAGCATGCGCTCGTGACTGTGGCCGTGCGCTTTCGAACCCAAAAACCGAGAATGAGCGCGCACGACCCCGTGCCAAGTGCAGCACCCAGACGGTGGCAACATGGTACTACACGCGAATGCAATGGCAGCAATCCACAGGCTTAGCAGGGTCTAGGCGAGAGCATGATTTCGATCCAAACGGAATCTTCGTAGTGACGTAGTTAGTGTGTTGCCTTTTGAAGGGTCGGGGGTTGCAGTTTCTGCAGACATGAATTCCGGCGTACGTTCAAGAGCCACTGCTCGTTTCACCTTCAACCCAAGGTCCGCAAGACTTGCGGCTTTCAACCTGAAACCCAATCACCTCTTAGCTCCATCGCTGCAGAGCCCCATAGACTCATTGAGTTTCAGCTCCGCACCCAAAAGGCCAATTGAGCCGACCTTGCAGGCAGCTCCGATGGTGTCACTCCTGACAGTGCCAGTAACACTCGCAATGCCTGTTTGCTGGACCGCAGTGGTGGGTTGAAGCTCTTTCTGGCTTTCAGAAGGCTGCTTTCAGTAGGGCCCTACTTCGCCCAAAAGTAAAGATCAAGCAACGCGCCAGTACTCCGGGCACATGTGGACCATCACTTGTGGAATTCACCAAGGATGCAATAAGAGCTACAAGTTGATGAACTCCCTACAGTAGACTCCAGAGTTCTTGAGGATGTTGTTAGCTTCCAGCGCCTGTTCCCTCGCACCCTCGGTTGATGGCGACTGTACCATTGCCTGGGCAAGTGAGAGAATTGAGACAAGGACCACCAAACCCTAAACAAAAACCCTAAACCCTAAACCCTAAACCCTAAACCCTAAACCCTAAACCCTAAACCCTAAACCCTAAACCCTAAACCCTAAACCCTAAACCCTAAACCCTAAACCCTAAACCCTAACCCTAAACCCTAAACCCTAAACCCTAACCAGAGTTTCGAACGCCTCCTGCATGATGGGCAGAGCCGAGGTTGCCTCTCCAGCGCCAGCCGTTCAGCCAGGATGCGAATACCCCCGCTTGCTGGGCAGCTCTCGGGTTGCATCTATTTTGTTGAGCAGGGTTTAGGGTTTAGGGTTTAGGGTTTAGGGTTTAGGGTTTAGGGTTTAGGGTTTAGGGCAAGGCTCACCACCCTGAGCAGAGGATGAGTAAGCGGCTCATCAAGCCGAAATCCATCCACAAGCTCCGATAGCCTTCAGAACCTACCCTGAAACCCGGGTGGGCTGAGCAACTTCTTATGAAAAAAACGCCCAAAACCCCCAAAGGGTTTGTAATATTTTTTAGTATGGGGGGCGGGGAGGTCTTGTCGTTTGTCCGAACGTCAATAAGCAGCCCGTCCAGGTTTAGGGTTTAGGGTCAGGATAAGGGTTCAAACAGGGGTTCAGCCTTCGGGACTTAAGGTGGTGGGGCTTGAGGTTGTCAAGGTTCTGGGGGCCCAAGGCCTTCGGGTTTTGATTAGGGTCTTCCTTGCAGAGTGACTGCTATGGGGCACTGAAGGGTTAAGGCTTCAGGTTCAAGCTTTACGGGTGTCAGGCGAGGTTTCAAAGGGGCGACTACCGGATTGGGTTTGGGGGCCAGTTTTGAGTTAACAAAATTTTCATGTTAAATTATTTAATTAGTTGCTTAGTTGATCATTTAATTATTTTATTAACTAATTATTTAATTAATTGATTGAGTAATTACTTAACTGATTGATTCATTTGTGAGTATTAGGGGGCATTATTGTTGGGGCGAAGTGATCAAGGGCTTTTTGTTGTACAGAATCGAGCCCGCCTGTCTCAGCAAGCCACATGACACTCCTCAAGCTCCAAGAAGCCAAACTTCGTCACAAGCCGCAGCTCTCTCCGTCCGGACCCTCTCTCAACGCTTCGCGTCCCGAAACCCTAAGCCCTAAACCCTACGCATCCCCAAGCCATAAACCCTAAACCCCTCAACGCTCCACACTGATGAGAAAACCCTAAACCCTAAACCCTAAACCCGAAACCCCAAACCCTAAACCCCAAACCCTGCCCCTGGCTAAGGCGTGAGCCCAGCGTCGCAGGGCTCGCCCAAGCCAACCTCGCCCAGCGCCTCGCCGCGCGTGCGGCCTGGGACTCTGGAAGCCACGCAGTTGGATGAGTGCCTTGGCCCGAATCTGCTAACTGCTTAAGAGCCCCAAAAAATCTAAAAGTATTCTTCCTTGTTCAGGGTAATACGGGGAATATTATTTTCCTTATTTTGGGGTTCGTAACCAAATAGTAGGAGTTGAGGTCCAGTTGATTCCACCTAGTTGAGAATTTGGGCCTCAGGTGAATTCAGTACCTTTACGACTGAAGCCCGCTAAACCCGAACTGGAGGGGATGCCCTGGACAAAAACCCTAAACCCTAAACCCTAAACCCTAAACCCTAAACCCTAAACCCTAAACTCTAAACCCCAAACCCTAAACCCTAAACCCTAAACCCTAAACCCTAAACCCTAAACCCTAAACCCTAAACCAGCCTCAGGAACCGCGAGCTCGTGAAGTGGTATGTGGACGCTGCAAAGTTCTTGGGCTGAGACTAGGAGGAGGGGTCTTTCTGGGGCTTATGGTTCTTAGGGTTTCGGGCTTGAGCAGCTTGGGTAACCATCTCTACAGCTCTGTTTTTTGTGTGACTGCCACTGCTTTGTCGTGTCCCTGTGCTGGTTCAGTGTTTGCCGTCATTCTGCCGTTTCACTCAGGAAATCAATCTTTTTGACCTGCCACTGCGCCCAAGCCCTTGTCCCCAGTCATGTGTGGCCCCAGGGATTTTCTAAACTGATGATCCCAGTAACCCATTGACCAGTGCCTATGTCCGACCCTCACGTGCCTGCATGCTCTCTATCCTCTCAATCCCCTCTCCCTTTTCCTGTCGTCCCTCCCTCTCGAGCCCACAGCATACCCTTTTTGTGTCCGGTTTCGTTGTCCCCATCCTCGTCCTTGTCATGGACCCCTTTCATACAGAAGCTCTATGTCGGTGTCGATGCTGGAATGCGCTGTGTCTGCGCGATGTCCAAAGTCTCTGAACACTAGATGCGGGTTTACGAAATAAGGGACCCCTCATACAGACCTCCAAATAGTACGATCCCCTTACAAGAAGGACCCCAAGCAAGGTACCACGAACACCGCAAACCCCCACATCTTTTTCATCGTTGCTAAACCCTAAACCCTAAACCCTAAACCCTAAACCCTAAACCCCAAACCCTAAGCCCTAAATTGCTCAGGTTCGAGTCCAACTCAGAGAGGTTGCTCAGCCCGGAGTTTCAGCTGCACTTCCCCGGGCAGGCCGCGGGCTCCGACTGGGGATGGTAGGCGTGGGGTGAAATGTAGGGGCCGGAATAGTTACTGAGAGTATTCCCTTAGTTATACCATAATAACCCCCCCCAAAAAAAATCCTTTTCTAATCATGAAGGCCCCCATAGTAGATTCGGCGTCGTTTCAGGGGCTTACCGGGCTCGCCAAAGTAACTCAGGGGTTGTACTGGGGGAGGTTTCTGGTTCAGCGTGGTCTCTGGGAGGTTTTTCAGGTTTAGCATTGCCTTGGAAGAAGTTACACATCCAAAAAAACAAAAGCTCCAAATATTCAAATGCATGGTTGGGAGTTTAACATGGCATTCAGTGGTTCATGTGTTGCTTCCGTTCCCGTTTTCGACTCGGGGTCTGCGGCGTTGTCGACTCAGGAGGTGTGGCTCTTCATCGCTTTTCTTGACTGGAGGGTCGCTACCCCCCCCCCCCCCACCCCCTCCTACCCCTCCCCAAACCTCAGCCGTGCCGGCTGGCGTGCTCCCAGTGTGCCCCACCCTAAACCCTCAACCATTTGTGCGGACTTGTTCTCTTGCGCCCAATCCTTGTCTCATGTTGCCTGGCATCACATTCTTCACGTGTCAAAAGGGGGGCGCGCGTTGTCGCAGCAACGCCGAAATGTCACACCGCGTGTATGTTGAAAACAGGTGTTAAAGCATCATCGGTTCCTGCAGCACGAAGAGGAGTTGATGCCCGGCCTTTGGGCGGAGAAACGGAGAAGAGTCGGGGCCCTGATTGCTGGAATTCAGCCTGATCCATATCCGGAGGAGTACGTAGCACGAGGGTCGATGAGGCTCTCTCGCTGGCTCTCTCTGGCCTACCTTTTCTGACTCGGTATTTTTGTGACTCGCTCCACCCCATTTTGGACACAGCTTTCCGGACTCGCCGGTCACCCGAGGGAGGGTGGGGTGGCAGAGGGACCCACGAAGAAACGGCTACTTCTGTCTGACACCAGGTACTTCTGTGCACTTTGGATCTTTGCGTTTGTGTTTGCGTTGTGCGGGTCCCTCCATACTGCTGGCCACACGAGCTTGTATGGATGTAGCTTTGAGCTGTGACTGTCGTTCGACTTATTCTGGTTGCTGCTGCTTCTCCCTCTTGATGTCAGCGTGCATGGTGGTCATGGAGGGGGGCATGCGCCTCCTCCTCCGCCTCGCCTGCGGCTCTAAGCAAGAATGCGTGGCGTCGGCGTGGGAACACGGAAGCATCAAAAACCCTAAACCCTACACCCTACACCCTAAACCCTAAATTGAATTCTTACAACCAGAGAGGCGGAGCCCTTCACCTTCCGAATGGTGATCCTGGCCACGCAGACGGGTGGAAAGCATGGTGCCGGATTCAAGAAGGTCGCGGGGATTTAGGGTTTAGGGTTTAGGGTTTTTGCTGGCAGGAGTTTCAGACTTCGGATCTGGAAGTTCGAGCTGACTACAGGTACTGGCAGGGCCTGGGCGAGTATTTTGTGATTTTGTTTGGGTAATCGGGTTGCAATGGAATGGGCAAGGAGCCGGATTGCCGCGGAGGGGTGTTGATTGCTTTTCAGCCTATCGGCGAAAAACTGCTCATGGGCTCGATGTTCGACGCACAGCGTACCAGGACCACGAGCGTCTATAGAGACAGAAGCCATGTGTGGGCTATCGCTTATCACGACCTCCAATAGTCTTAAGTAGGAGCGGGCGTTCCTAGTTAGTTGACCGTCTTGTATGTACATGTGACAGCAGATTTCGGCCCCTCCATTAGCATACACATTAAAAAGAGGTTTTCCTACGTCCGTTCGGGTGAAAATGCAGAGGGAATGCAGAGGTCTTCCTATCAAAAGATAGAGGGCATGCATGTTTTCTTACAAAAAGCAGGGGAAATAGAGGTTAAGCAAGAAATAACGAAAGACATGGCAGATCGAAAGAAATAATGATAGAACGAAAGAAGCAAAATGAGCAAGCAAAAAACGAACAAACATTTGAAGCCTTGCAGGCTGGCTTATAAAGAAGATCATGCCAGAAGAGAGGGTTTGCCCTAGGAAAGCATGCGAATGCCAGCATTGCGTTTGAAATTCTTTGAAGCTTTGCAAGCCTGAGTTGTAAAGAAGATCATGCCATACGAAAGGACTTGCGTGAAGTAGGCATGTGAATCCTTTTCCAACCCGTCAGGCGTGGATTGTGTTTAGAAGTGAGGGGTGGCTGCACACCACCCCCCCCCCCCCCATGTTTTTATTTCTTTTTTCAAGAACTGCTTCATAAAGAAGAGCATGCCATAAAGAGGAATTGCGTTCAGAAAACATGCGAACTCTATTCCAAACCCTTCAAGCGAGCATTGAGTTTGCAAAAGGGGGGGGGCTCGCTTGTGTTCGATTTGTGTTGAAGGAGCCTTGAAAGTTTACATTCTCAGCTTTATCAAGAAGATCATGCCACAAAACAGGAAAAATCTTCATTCCCCCCCCCCCCCCCCCCCTCACTTTAAGAAAACCTCTATTGCCTCTGTATTTTCGTAGGAAAGCCTCCATTTCCTCTCCGAGGCTAGCTGTTCCCCTACCCCCTTGAGCCGGTTCCAGGGCTTGGAGGTTAAGTTGTTGAGTAGGTTTTGCTGAATCAAACGGGGTCAAGGGGCCCCTGCCCGACTCTCCACCCCCTCCACCCTCTCCACCCTCTCCACCCCCTCCAACCCCTCCACCCACTGTGAGTCGATCAGGACCTACAATGCCCAAGACTCAAAGACTTCAAAGAAACCTTGAATTTCAACCGGAGGCGGGGGAGAAATGGCCCTGTGAATATGGCTTTCATAGGAGAACCTATATTCCCTCGGACTTTTCGTCGGCATTCTGACCGGAAAGCCTCTGTATTTCAACCGGAAACCGAAGACCAAGCAAACATGTACGAGAACAAAACGAGTCTCACACAGGATCCCCCGCCCATGATCTGTATGATGCACTCTGAAGTCACCAAATAGCCATGTACAACCTGCATCTGCAGCGTGAGGCCTAGTAGCTTGGAACTTCATCGCCAAGTTCTCCATGTGCATCATTCAGAGCAACAAACGACCTGCAACCCTAAACCCTAAACCCTAAACCCTAAACCCTAGACCCTAGACCCTAAACCCTAAACCCTAAACCATAACCCTAAACCCTAAACCCTAAACCCTAAACCCTAAACCCTAAACCCTAAACCCTAAACCCTAAACCCTAAACCCTAAACCCTAAACAGACCATGCAATAACTTCAACTCCAAGGGCCCAAATCTCTCAAACGTGTGGCAGGGCAAGAGCCCGGTGGGCCCTAGAGTAGAAGCCAACAAGTTGGAAACTCAATCTCTAAGGGTTTAGGGTTTAGGGTTTAGGGTTTAGGGTTTAGGGTTTAGGGTTTAGGGTCATCCCTAAGAGTAAAGTATAGGGAATCCCAGCACAATTTGTCCTAAAAAAGGTTTCCAACTTCTTGGGGTTTGCTGTAAATCTTCCCTCATCTGCGCAACAGCGTTGAGATCACTGAGGCTAAGGGCCGAGGTGTCATCGAGTTGAAATGCTCTTCTGCCGTGCCTTCAGGCGAGGTCTGGCGTCTCAATAGTGACTTGGGGTTTGGCAGGAATCCTTTTGGATCAGTTCGCCGTGACTAAATATGCGGGTTGAAGTGTGGCGCCCGCAAAAGAAACACTATGTATCACTGAAAAGGTTCGTTTAGTTCATGTTTATGCAGCGGTTTCATCGGTGTGCTTGTTTGGTGGACTTTACCGGCCACACCACGGATGGCTGCGGATTTGGGAGTTGCGGGCGATGACTTCGACCCGACCACATGGCCTGGTAGTAGGCTCGCATGCCCTTGTTCCAAGATTCCAGTGGACCCCTGTACTACCCACCCAGAAGCCCTGTCAGAGCGTGGGATTCTGACTGTGGAGGACTTGATCCTAGCGTATAGTTCATGATAGTCTTGCACGCTCCCTAGCGTTATTGTTATTGTTGTTGCCGGGAGGCCATGCACTTGGTTTGAGGTTGGTTTGCACGGTCCACTTTGGGGTCTTTGTCCGTCTCGCTCGCGAGTACTATGCGGGACTGCATGGGACACAAAATCATGCAAGACGTATATCATCCACCATAGGAATAGGATCTTGCTGATCCAGTGAACAGCAGCTTGTCACTGATCAGCGTTTGCGGCAGGAGTGGTTGTAATTGTTAAAGCTGCCGATGGCCTAGATTCCTGCATACAGCACGAGCTTCGCAGGTGTGGACCCCGTTACCGCCCTTGTCACAATTGGTGAAGGAGTCTCAGTTGCCGCGCATGCAGTGTCCTTCGCGTGAGGGTGTTGAGGGTTCGGGGAGCTGCTAGGGGGGGGTGGGGGGCGGAAAAGAGGACATGATGTCGTACTAACGTCGTGTACATGGAGGCTTCGTTGGCGAAGTGGTCAAGTTACCTTTTTTTTCCCATGGCGCACTTAAGAGGGCACGTGTGCAACCACCGTCTGTGTTACAAGAACATCTTGCTTCAGGAGCCCGCAAGCAGATCTGCGCAAAGCCGATTGAGCACAATTTCGGCGAGAAGACCTGCTGCCAGCTGCGGAATGGCTGGGCTCCCAGCTATCAAGCCCAGTGGGGCTTCGGATCTATATTAGCTCTGCCAGAATGGACTATCATACCCCAAAATCCCTTAACAGGCCCTTTATAGGGTTCATTATGGGGATATTAAGGCCTAGTAGCCCCTAAACTCTAAACCCTAAACCCTAAACCCTAAACCCTAACCCTAAACCCTAAACCCTAAACCCTAAACCCTAAACCCTAAACCCTGAACCCTGAACCCTGAACCCTGAACCCTGAACCCTGAACCCTGAACCCTGAACCCTAAACCCTAAACCCTAAACATCCCGGTAAGTCCGACGGCTTTTGATTTCGAGACTTGGCTCCGCAGGCGAGGAAGCTGATTGGGACTTCAGACAGTCGATCAGCAGAGACTCCAAGAGCTGCGCCTTCTTGCTGCACCAAGGGGAAGTCTTTGTACAATCGTAACAATAATCATACTGATACTAATAACAATCATAATCATAATCGTAGTAGTAGTGATACTAAGAATAATCATAATCGAAATCATAATAAATAATAGTAGTAATAGTGGCAAGAAGAGTAATAGTAGTAACAATAATAATGGCAATAATGACAATCGTCACAAAAATCATATTAGTCTTGGAAGGTCCCTTCTGTGGTTCGAAAAGTGCAGCGGCGGAGTCCTTAAGCTTTCCAAGTCGCGGTGCGGTGGTGTGGCTGGCTCTCAGAGTTTAGGGTTTAGGGTTTAGGGTTTAGGGTTGTCCTGACACTTCACAAAGTTCAGAAACTCCGAACACGGCCGACAAGCGATGATTTGAGAGGCTAGCAGTGGGTGGTGGACCTTTTCAACCAACAACCCCATAAATCATCAGGACTGATTCATCCATCGGCAGTTTGTGCGCGATTTTGCCTGTGCGATTCCCACAGCAGGAGCAACACGAAGCGTGTCCGATGAAAGCAGCAAAAGACAGTGTGACGTTGTGGCTGTTCCCTTTGCGCATCAAACTTTGTTGAAGGATACTGCCCGGGGGAGAGGTGTCTCATGTCAGGACGAACAACTTTGAGGTTTTCGTAGCTAGCGATGCCGCCGCAAGTTCTGAACTTGTAGTGGGACCACCGGCCACGACCCTAAACCCTAAACCCTAAACCCTAAACCCTAAACCCTAAACCCTAAACCCTAAATCCTAACCCAGAACCCTAAACCTTACCGACCCAAACGCCAACAACCGAGGCTGAGGTTCCGAACAAAACCAGATGCCCTTCTCAACCCCAAAACTTCATTGGGATCTTCCTACTGACAGTTCTGAAGGGTTTAGGGTTTAGGGTTTAGGGTTTAGGGTTTAGGGTTTAGGGTTCGTAGGGGGTACTATAATCCCTATGAAGGGCTGGTTCGTATACGGGGGTAGCATCCCAAGTTCTCTCAGCCTAAGGAGATTTCGGTGGAGATCCACCTTTGATGGATGCTCCACCTCTTCAGCAGTGATTTGCTGAAAAGGATCGAAAAGGTGTTTGGTAGTGAAATTAACATCGCTTGCATGAATTTGTTGTATAGGCCTTGGCCTCACGTCACGAAGGTATAGCGGTGACGCATGTGTTATGCGACAGCACACTCCAGGCTTGCATCTTATAACCCCTAAACCCTAAACCCTAAACCCTAAGCCCTAAACCCTAAACCCTAAACCCTAAACCCTAAGCCCTAAAACCTAAACCCATCTTATAACCACTTGCATGAAGAGGGCATGTTCGTGGACAGCATCGGGCTGGAGGCCAAGGTAAGGGACAAGAGTTCCCTGAAGTTCCGTTCGCTTACAAAGGGGCGGGCGTAGTTGTGCTATCCCCTGCAGTTGCCATGCGGAACCGGCGTAGGTATTGCGCAGCTGACAGGTACACCGATGCTCACTGTAGCCTTTGCATGCATGGCAATGTATGCCTGGGTGGGGCTGCAAGGGTCGCCCTTGCCAGCACACCCAGAATGACCCGACAAATGAACTGGCACGAGCAGCCAGTTCCCAGTTGCACGGTGTTATGCTTGTCTGAACACGTTCTATGCAGGATAGGCTTGCTACTCCAATCCTGATACATATAGCCATGAGGGCAGTGTAGGATAACAATGGACAATCTGCCAGTTGTTGCAATGTACAGCGGGCTTCTGGCACGGACATCCTGCCCATAGCGGTAGGGTTTGTAAAGAGTTGCAGTACTTGACCCACACGAGGCAGCAGCGTTGCGACGAAGATGCTTTCGCTGTTCACTGGGCTTCACACATCAACGTTGGGAGTGCACGCATTGCTGTTAAGCTGTTGAACAACAATGTGGCCCTACAATCCCTCAGATTTTGCGTCATGAGTCATGAGTCATAACGGGCCTTCCAGTACATGCATGTGCCTCGCTTAACTACAGGCTGCTGCCAAGTCCCAGTGCACGGTGTGCTGTAGCGATGCTGGCTGTCTCGGCATCTAAAGTAGGGATGAGGGGCGGGGGGCTTGAACTAGCATGTTTCGGTAGGGCCGAGGTCCCCTTGCAACTTCAGATCCGAAAGCGCATCCCCCAAGCCCGATGCGTTTAGGGTTTAGGGTTTAGGGTTTAGGGTTTAGGGTTTATAGGGTTTAGGGTTTAGGGTTTAGGGTTTACGTGACAGCCCGGCACTCTTGGAATACCGGCGCGATTTAGGAGAGGTAGGTAGGCATTCACATGCCACCCCACCCGCACCATTCCAAACGGGTCGCAGCACCTGCTGTGACCAAGTCGGGGCTTAAGACTTGGGTTTAGGGTTTAGGGTTTAGGGTTTAGGGTTTAGGGTTTAGGGTTTAGGGTTTAGGGTTTAGGGTTTAGGGTTTAGGGTCACGTGCCTCCCCCAGCCTGAACTTCTCAACGACCCACAATCAGAACAAAGGCCCCTATAACCTAAGTTGTGAATTCCTTCCTTCCTTGGCCGGGGTTTCTGGAAATAGGGGACCGCTAATATAGACCCCCAAGTAGTAAGATGCCCTTATAATAGGGACCCCACTAAGGTACTCCTATTTCCGGAAACCCCCAACCCTAAACCCTAAACCCTAAACCCTAAACCCTAAACCCCTAAACCCCTAAACCCCTAAACCCCTAAACCCCTAAACCCCTAAACCCCTAACCCCCTAACCCCCTAAACCCCTAAACCCCTAAACCCCTAAACCCCTAAACCCCTAAACCCCTAAACCCCTAAACCCCTAAACCCCTAAACCCCTACACCCCTACACCCCTACACCCCTAAATCCAAACCCCTAACTCCGGAACCCCCCCAAGCCCTGGGCCAGGATCTTCCAAACCAAAACAGCAGAGACCGGTGGGCTCACAAAGTCGGCTCGGCTCGGGCCTCGGGACCTCGGAGAGGTTTAGGGTTTAGGGTTTAGGGTTTAGGGTTTAGGGTTTAGGGTTTAGGGTTTAGGGAGCCACAGCCCTGAACGCTGGAAAATCCCTAAAATCCCGGGCGCCAGGCAGGTGTTGGACTTCAGGCTTGAATCCAAATCTCCTGCACCCTAAACCCTAAGCCCTAAGCCCTAAACCCTAAACCCTAAACCCTAAACCCTAAACCCTAAACCCTAAACCCTAAACCCTAAACCCTAAACCCTAAACCCAGCCTGTGAGGTCCAGGGTTCTTGAGGCGCTCTCGTGTTGCGAAGAGGAAAAGTTTCATCCCCACAGCTGGACAAAAGGAGGGACCCGTTTAAGGGACCTTAGGGGTAATGTAGGGGTTTAGGGTTTAGGGTTTAGGAAGCTTAGGTATATAGGGACGATTATAAGGTATGTATAGGGGATGCTTAGGTATAGGCATACAATATATCCCTTAACCGGACGCGCCCAGGGCACGCAAGAGTCCCTGGATTCTGCTGCATCGCGCCTTAGCGGGCCGCTTCTGCAGCAGACATGTTGAGCAATGGGGTTTAGGGTTTGGGGATTAGGGTTTAGGGTTTAGGGTCCTTAAACCTCGAAGCCCTATTGTGCCCGATCAGATGCAGGTTGGGTTTTGGGTCTGTGGTATGTTTGAGGTGTACTGACCAGCCCAGCCTGCAACAAGAAGTAAGGTCTCTGCAACTAGGTCTTAGGCTTAGGGTTTAGGGTTTAGGGTTTAGGGTTTGGGGTTTAGGGTTTAGGTCTTAGGGTATATGGATTTTGGGGGTCTTTGCGAAATGGGCCTTGAACCCAAGAGTCGGCGAGACTCGACTTCAGGTATTTCAGGGTCGGGGTCTTGAGATATTCAGCGTTGGTAGGACTGAAGAGGCTTTGGGACTGGTTCAAGATATATTGGATCAGGAAGGCTGCCACCGCGTAACGTTTGCCCCAAACGGCGAAGCCTCCGAATTCCGAAAACGCAACCAAAAACTCGAACAGCCCAGTTGTCAAAAGCCAAACCTAACCTAACGATCCTAGCAAGATCCACCCCTAAACCCTAAACCCTAAACCCCAAACCCTAAACCCTAAACCCTAAACCCTAAACCCTAAACCCCCACCTCATAACCGGATGAGTACCCGAGGAGGCGGATACACCTCGAACGCCAGCAGTTCCCGGCCATCCCATGGCTTGTGAAGGGGTGGGGGGGGTTTAGGGTTTAGGGTTTAGGGTTTCGGGTTTCGGGTTTCGGGTTTCGGGTTTAGGGAAGGGGGGGCTAAGGGGGAGGGGGGGGGAGGGAGTACGGGTGGGGGGGGGGGAGGGGGGACTTTGCGACGCGCCAGGTTTAGCGGTTGAAGGCTTCGTGATTGCATCCAGATACCAACAGCACATAGCCAGCTTGATAATCTTGAAGGTCCTAAGACGGCCACTAATTAAACGGGTTATCTAGTCCAAACCATAAGGCTCTTCGATCCGGCCCTCACCACGGGGTTCAAGGCTTCAGACCGGAAGCGTGACATGGCGTGACCGCGTGACCTCAGCCCCAATCCCCTGAACACATACAGCGGCACATGCTGTATATCTTGAGACCAAATCGTCCCTTCATTCCTGAGGAACAGTCGGCAAAGTACATACGAAGCTTCTCAGCGTCTAGCAGGATGTCGATGGGAAGGGGAGGCCCCCAGCTCGTGGCCCGGAAGCAACAACGCATCTCAAATAGCGACCTCGCAGTCAACTCTGACAAGCTGTGGCATATTTCGATGCGCAACGCTTTGACGAAAAAAAATGCTCAAAACCCATTTGGCCTCACACCCCGCACTGCCCTTGCCAGGCAACGGGTGCCGGGCCCTTGGGTGTGGCAAATGTCTGGAGCAAGCGAAGGAGTGCGAGTCGTTTAGGTATGAAATGGGTTGATGCTAGGCCCACAGAGTCTGCCTAGGTCCTTGATAACCCCTCTTCCAAACCATGTCCTCGTCAACCCTAAACCCTAAACCCTGAACCCTGAACCCTAAACCCTAAACCCGTGTTCTTATGAGGCCTACATGGGTAGATGTTGGCGAAATCCAGCGCGAAGCTCAGGTTGGCAAAGTCATAAAAGTCTTAAAGGAAAGCTAGTGCTTTTCCCGGAGTTGTGGAGTTTGGGAGCGTGGAATGCCCTAAGCAGCACAGTTTCGAGCATCGAGCATCAGGAAATTTCAGAACCTTTTTTCTGACGACCCTTAAGCTCTAGATTCATGAGCTTAGTCCAGCATAGCTTTGGGCACCTGGGACCTAACAGAAGGGTCCCTGGTATCTCTTGCGCCCAAAGACAAAGAGTGATGGTTTGCTTGATGATCCTGCGTGGGAAATGCAGGCCTTGCGATTGTGCTGCGATTTGTATTCCATGCATGGGTACGCGGCTCAACTATCAGTCATAGCGGTTTGAGCAAACCTGCAAGAGAGCTGAATACCAGGTAGATTTCAACCCTAAACCCTAACACCTAAACCCTAAACCCTAGACCTTAAACCCTAAACCCTAATTTTCAGACCCAGGGCCCGGAGATTTCTGAAAAGAGATGGATTTTGAGCCCAGATCACTGCGAAGCTCGTCCTCAAGAAAGTGAGTGCGAAAGATGATTTCCAGATCATCGACTTGTTTAGCAGGCCAGCGCCTTTCCGTGTGCCTGTTTGAGGTGACAGGGAAGTGGAGTTGAGGGTTCATCGACGCTTTGAATCGAGTCAGCCACAAGGCTTTAAGTCAAGGGTTTGGTTTAGCCTCTGCATGCTCAGAGTTGAGAACACGAGTTCATGCAGGGCCTCAAGATGACTGCAGACCAAGCTCGAAGGAACCCCTAACTCCCAAACCCAAGATGCCCAAGCCGCCACACTCCACTTTTAACAACCTATGGCTTATTCTCGAATGGTTCGTCCTTTGTCCTCCTGTTTGAGGTGCCGCTTCCAGTCTTAAGTATTTAGTTGAACAGAAGGGTTTGGGGGCAGTCTGGTTTGGGCAAGGGCAATGCCTTACGTAACACACGTCCATCTACACCCCCCCCTCCCCTAGACCTTTCTGAACCTGCAGAATACTTTTCCCCATTAGTGCTACACGCGCCT